GCTGAGGCTGGGCTCCCTGCCTCCGAGTCAGGCTCCAGAAAGACAGAAGCAGCAGGAGTGACAGCGCTGTTGGCAAATACCGCCCACCCCGGCAGCACAGCTTTCTTGAAGCCGTGCTATCTTCAGACAAGTGCCTTTGCTAAATATCGCAAGTTCTGAGGGTAGGTGAGGCGCAAAGGGAGAGGAAAGAGGGCAGGATGATGGAGAATGCTATCACAGGTAATATCCTAGGTCTGCAGTGCCCCTTTCACAGGTTGGTGATGAGGTACCTTCTACCTTTTCTCTGTTCTGTATATATTGGCCAATTTTAGTTGGCATTTGTACAATTTTCAGCTTATTAAGGGGAAAACCAGGCTGTCTAACAGGAATTAGTACATGAACACCTGATATACCTGATATCCCATTTGCCAGGTAGGCATGATAGTACGCCTGTGATATTTCACCCAGTCTCAAGGCATTAAATATTTCTACTCTTGACTGATGCCAGTTCCAAGCTACTGTCAGCTGAACCATGAGCTGCTTGCATCTAGACATTAAGCCAAATCCTGGCTCCACTGAGGCCAATCTTAAAACTCAAACTGATTTCAGAGGCAATAGACTAATTTAGTCCCCTAGGCAGGGGTCAAATGGGAGGAGTTAATGGCAGTTTGCTGTCACCTAAAGATATAAGCTAAAGTTAAATTTCCTCATGTCTTGGGACATATTGAAATTCTGTGTGTGAGTGCGTATGGAGCACTGAGGCATAGCGGTGATGTCACTGAGATACCTCGCGTTGGCTACTAAAAGCGATTTCCGAACTTTCTTGCAAATACAGATAGCTATTTTAGGAACTGAGTGACATGGACATCTTGGCTCCCCAGCTGTAATGATGGATGCAGTGTCTTGTCTATCTCATATACTTTAGTGCTGATATTCTATTCCTTTAATTACGAGAAAAAAGTATTTAATGGTGTTTCAGAAATCTTTATTACAACATATGCATTCTAATAATTACCTTACTCATCCTCTGGTAGTAGTGACAAAAAATTTCCTCCTCCACTCCGGTATTTCTTGTATGCAAGACTGCTTTAGAAATGGATTTTGTTCTTTACCCTTTTTTTGTATTCCAGTTGCACTTCGACTGATCTCAAGAAGAATTTGGAAATCTCTGTGAATGCTCTTCTATCCACATTTACATTTTCTCTTTGCTTTTAAGGGAGTCCATACAGACTATATGGTTTGATTTCCTATTTACTTTTTATTTCTCGGTAATTTCCGGTTATGACCACTTTTAAAACTCATTATTTTCAGATTCCTACTATTTTGCATGCATATGAAAAAGATGCATTTTTTTTTTCATCCTGAACCTAAATTTTAAATTAATCCTTAATCTAAACTGTTTCCTCCTAGAGTTCATAGGAATATCTGCTATTCAGAGTCATGTCTGCTCCCCTGTGGTAATTTAGGTCTTAGATTTATTAAAATCACTAACAGCAAATACTGTACCTATTTTTAGAGAATTATTGAATCTGCTTGTATTTCCTGATCTTTCTTCTCATTCCTTTGTTAGGATATGCCTTCTGCCTCTTAATTATTTCCATATCAAATGGCCTTAGTCAAAGTAGTTGAAATAAATAATGTCCATTTAGAAATGTGAGCGTTTTGGTTACAACAGATAACCACGATCTGGTTACTCTTTGCATATAAGAGCACTCTTTAAGTAATGTGTTTTGCAGTCTTGTTAAGTGAAAAACAGTAAAGAACAAACATCCCAGCCAAAAGGCAGCTTAGTGAATGTGATTTCTGCCCTTTCAGCCAATGATCTTGATCCCGTTTTTGATTTCTGCACAGACATAAAATTTTACTCTCCTTTCAGTAGAGCTAAATAATATTAGGAGCTAACTTAGCTTCTCTCACGTGGATTGTTTTTACAATGTCTTTTATCAAACAACTGGGCAGTCTCTGTTACATTTTCAGTACTGAGACTGCTTTATTGAAATATAAATCCAGGCCTCTTTACCAATGCACCAAACCCAGCAGAGCTTTCTATGCTTCCACTGCTCAAAATAGGGCTGGATAAGCTTAACTGAGAGGTGTGAAGGATCATCCTGGAAGAGCTGGAAGCTAAATATATTCTGCTACAAGATTTCTCCCATGCTTCTCTCCACCTCCAGTTCCCAGGGACTACAATGGCTTCTGCAGGGCTTTACGTATGGTGGAGGGAGGTGAATTCACACAGGTAAAGAGCTTTAGCGCAGACCAGCACGTCCACCTATAGTGCATAACATTTTTTTTAATGAAAAAAAAAAAAATGATGCTTGGGTGAGTTGTGAGGGAAAGCACTCCAATCATTTCTTCCAAAGAGAAGTCCTGAGCAATTATTTTTAGGGAAGGAACCCTGACCATAAGGAGACCCTTTCCTACAGCATTGATGTAGGCCCCTAGGGTGAGCTGGAGAGGGGACAGGATTTCATCTAGACCCCCTGTGCTTAATGCTTCCTTTTTCTTAACTCTAAGAGGTTTACCAATATAGGAAGTTTATTTTCTTCTAAACCATCCTTTTGAGGCCTAGCAATCCATGTGCATTGCATGGAGAGCTTACAGGTCTTAAGTGCTGTGGATAGTTCTCTGGAGGCCAGGCGCCTGATGACAAGCTTTCAGTCTGTTAGGAGAGCGTTGCCTTATTAGTATTTAAGGAGCCCAACTCCATAAAAACACAAAAGAGCGAATGAGTTTCCTCTCATTTGCCCCTGATTTTATGCTCATATAATTCCACTAATTTCATTTGCATGAGAACAGAAACAGATCCATAGTCTCCCCGTAGAAATGATGCACATTTCACAGGGCTCTGATCCAAACCAGAAGGCCAAGCAGGAGTCTACTTCACATGCACAAACCCCCACAACAGAAGTAACATGCGAAGTGGTCCTTTTATTCCCACTCGACATTTTTATGCAAATCCAGTGCAGATATGCGTTGTACATAGCGGGCTACGGACAAAGGAGAACAGTAACTGAGCAGCCCTTCCTTTTCTGTGAGAGAAAGTTGTCTAGCAGTCTGTTTTTATCTCCAAGTAAACAAAAGGAAATAAAACAATAAAAATAGATACCTCAGTGCTGTAAATTCTGAGGGAAGACATTTCTATTGGTTTGACAGTTTGTGAGTGTAAGTCTCCTTATTTATGTAGCTCAATAGATTTAATGTTAATCACAAATGAAAGACACACGTTAAATATGCTTTGCAAACACACGCGTTGACTTCTCATTTACTCAAGAACAGCTCAAGTTAAAATTGCTCCTGGTATAGGCACAGATAATCATGGTAGGATAGCTGAAAAAAATGAGGAACAAATGAAGGCAAACCAAATTGCTTTTAAAAAAAAAATCAAATGAATGTGCTATTGGAATTGCTATAAAAGATAACACAAAAAAAACATCTAAAAATCATGGCTCAAGCTCAATGTTTCAAGCAATCCTAAATCTTAACTTCAGCATCTTTGTGCTACTCTGCAGGCACCAAACAAGCAAAAAAAAAGTTGACCTCATAATCATGTGAAGTTTCCTATTCCTGTCCCAAGTTGTCATTGGTAAAAGCAGGCGGCACAAATTGCAGCTGTAAACAGCGATGTACTGCCAGTGTTTCAACCAGAGTAGCCCACATTTTTCCCTCTGCAGTTTTAACACGGCTTGTGCGTAAAGGTTTCTGTGGCTGTAGAGGAAAAGGATGTAGATTAGGCTTCTACTTATTTGCTCCCTTGTTGAAACATAAACGACCTATCTTAGGCATAAGTAAAGGAGGAGACACCTTAATTTGGCAGACAAACTTTGAGAGATGTTTCCATGCACCCGCTCACAGAAGTAGGAGCAAGAGGCCTGTATCCCCTCTTGTACTCTCTCCAAATGAACAGCATAGAGACATAACTGCAGGTCTTGCATCCCACCAGGTTGTACCCGCGTCCCAACGGTCTTCGTCCACACCATCCTCTTGGGAGAGTGGCCGAACGCTTACTTTTTGGCAACAAGATGTTCCTAAAACCTGGCCTAAAATTCAGTTCATCCCAAACCGCCACTCTGGGTTAGACGTTCACGCAGAGTTGGAGGGCCTGATGCAGCAGAACTGTTGGTTAATTTTCAGCTAATTTGCCAGCATGTGCCTAAGCACACATCTCCCACCCTTATTTGCAGAATGGCTTCCTTAAATGTAGTTTTAAAAACAGGAGGATTACTTATAAGTTATCTTGGTACTTGCCTAGCAGGTTTTTTTTTTTTTTGGTGCAATTAAAAGTCTCTAGAATGTTTAATACGAGTCAAATTGAATTATTACAGTGTCATGAAGTAAAATTTAAATCATGTTGAAAAATATGCTTAGAATCTGCTGTCCCATGACTAAAATAGCCAAAGAGGAAAAAAAATCTCTATTTAAAAAGGAAATCAGAAAACAATAGCTTTGAAGCAAATTTCAGGCATAGTAAACTGCCCTTGAAATGTCTGTGCAGTCTTCTTTTTAAAGAGCCTTGAAAGTGTTTGTTTTTTTTCCCACTTCATACCTTTAAAAGTATTGCATTCATTTTTTTTTCAGGCCTAGTCAATGTTGTCATTTATGCAGCCAGAGGGTCTCTTTTAAACAACATGAAAAAATGTGCTTGCAGAACTGTGCAAATACTTATTTCAAAAAAAGAATTACTAAAACCGCTGTGGTTTCAGGGATACAAATGATGTATTTTGAAATGGAACTAAATGTTTATTTACATGAGAGAGCATTCTAGCTTTGGTCTACTGAGTAAATAACGTGCATTAAACCCTATACAACTCACAGTCCATTGAATAAAAAGTAGATTTTAAATGTTTAAATAGAGATCTGTGTTTTCGTGAACCATTACAGTTTTAAAGCAAACTATTGCATTTCTTTTGATTTTAAAACTCTTTTAGGACTTATTTTAGAAGTAATAGAAGATAATGAAATGACATGATAAATGAGTACCTAAAGCAAGAGTGAAGGTGAACTCTTATTGTGCTTTACAGGCAAGTGAGAGTCTAAATGCTGCTTGGCAGATCCTTCACTCTGTCTTCTCCATGTTGTTCAGTCAACGTACAGAGGCTTTGGTATGGTCTTCGCCTGCCATTTGTGGACTTCCTGTGATGCGAAGGATGTCCACAGAGGTAAGAAAGTTGCCTTGTGCCCCTGTCTACCTCCATCTCCTAGTGAAGGAAATAGTGAGAGTGGCTGGAGAGAAAGAGATGTGGTCTGAAAACTGCAGGGCTGTGATACTTGACTGCTAGAGCGGCTCGCACTAATTTGAGCAGCCCAAAGGTCACGACTATTTATGCAGATAAAGGTCAATGGCAAGCTGGCATATGGCTGCAGACTATCTTGGTACGCACATCATCCTGAGCAGTGATAAGTGCTTCTGCTCCACAGTTTGTCTTATGCAAGAACTTTCAGGCCAAGTTTTGGCTGAAATAAAAGATGTTGGAAAAAAAATCTCTGCCATGTAAAGTTGCCAAAGTTAGGACGCTGCTTCAAATTTCATGGCTCAGGCTCATCTGTAGCTAAACCAAACCTTTGAATCATTATTTGTAAAAGACAGCCAAATTCTGAACTGTTCGTTCAGCATTTAGTCAGTCCTTACATGGATAAACTCCTGTGAAAGCATGCCTGATTACAGATAAAGGAAAAACTGAATAGATGCTCAGGATGTGACCCACCGACAGAAAACTGGCAAAACTCCTTACTGACTTCAGTAGAGGTAGGGTTCAACAACTGTTACCACTTGGAAAAAAATCACTTCCAAAGTGCAGGATGTTACAGCACAAGAATAAAAGGCATGATTTGGATTTCTAGAGCGGTTTCAGTTTAGGTGAAACAGAACATCCATTTAGGTGAAAAATGGAAGCAGATATACTACGTTTAGTCTGGTCAGACTCTATTATATTTGAAACATGTATAGTCACTACGCACTAAGGCGTCATCCACTGTTGTCGTTACGAAATGAAAACATTTTCTAACCTTCAGTTCCAGCAACTGTCTGTATATCTGTACCAGTTTTAAGAAAAATTTTTTTATGTTCTATTGTCATGCGCATCAGTCAGGTGCATCCTCGTCTCTAATATGAAGTGGGCAAAATATTTTGTGACATTTCATTTCCCTGACAAAAGGTAATGGGAAAACATTATTATACTGATTTGTTGTTTTTAAATATTACACGTAGGCTTACAATATCTTACATGTTTAATTTATTATATGGGTTTTCATCACAGAGGTATTTGGCACTATGCTCTAATTCAGGTTGTAGCAATAATTCTATTATAAGCGCTGCTTTGCCTCGCCCAGTAGTTTTTTAACAGGAGTTGGCTATTATTCTCGTATTTTTGTTTGCTAGTAAAGGAAAAAAAAGGTAGAATGAAAAACTGGCATGTAGAAAGCAACCAAAACTAACTGTCTTCAGGCCTGGAAAAGCATTTTTTTCCCTGCAGCTATGTCTTCCCTTCAAAATGGAGAATTACCAGGTTCTTCCTTGATCACTGTCTTCCTAGATCTCCACACTATGGGAAGTTTTAAGCAAGAGTTTTAGCACTACTTGCTTGGAAACATTTGGCCAAGTTCACTAATTCCATTGTACTCTTTCTTCATTCTGTATTTTGCGGGCTCAGCTTTTGGCAAACTGAAACCAATCTGTAACAATGGCATAGTCTGATTGGTGAATAAGCATATTTTATGCATTTTCCCCCAGAAAAGGGCAAAATTCTAGCCTCTGCTCATTTGCAAGCACTCTGTCAGTTGGATTCATCAAACTGAAGAGAGTCTCCATTAAGTACTAAGGTGGGTTACTGTGCCGCCAAACAGGTAGCACACCATTGACAGCTTAGGACCCAGTCAGCACAACCGTGAGCTTGGCGACAAGAGTAACCGTGTAGCAGTTCCCAGGGATGAAGGCTTCTGGCCCACATCTGGCAGTGCAGGTGACATTTGAAGACTTTCTCTTTCCCTCAGATGCCTTCAAACGAAATAAAAATAAGCCTTGGCAGAAACTGAAGAAATTGGAACACACTGCATTGTATACTACCTCTTGAAAGCGTTAACGCTATTATTTTCAGTCCCTGACATCAGGACTGTCCCATAGATAACAACTGTTCGATCTCGAGTAAGCATGTTTATGTTACTTTGGCGCAAATATAATTTTTATGCTTTCCCTCCTGTTAAGGTATTTGACAACCTGAAACAAGAGAAAGGCAAGATGCTGCTCATAAGTTGTGTTGAGGGCCATCAATTTTTGGACTTCTAGGACACGGTTCCTATTGCCTCTGCCCAGCCTGCTTTCCCAAGTTCTGCAACTCTGAGGGCAGACTGGGTTCCAGAATTATATTTTGGTGAGATGAAAACCTGGAGTTACGTTTTCCCTGCAGAAATCCAGAAAATACTGTAGGCTAATGGACCATGTTCCACCAGAAATTTTCATAACCTGGAAGCAGTCGTTTATCCCTGTTTACAGAGAAAGCAGGGGATGCAGGTCTGGGTCCCACCAGCTTTCTACTCTTAATCATAGCCTGGAGCCTATGCGCCTTTTTCCTCATACCTCCCTCTAGTCTCCCTCATTTTTTTGTAAGTGCACCTGCCTATGTTTTTGGACTCTCCTGTCTCTTTCATTTTAGCAAACGGTTACTTTATAGTTAGAGACAGCTTCAATCTTATAGACCCACCTAAATCAGCTTCACAATGCCTAGCCTTGAGTAGAGAAGCCACGTAATCACCACAGTAGGGCTCTGAACTCACTAACTGCAAAGCTGAATGGCTTCTCGAGTGGGTCTGAAGGTTCATATTAAGCCCCACATTGCCAGAGCTACCTTGCCATCTATGCCTGAGTTAGTTAAATTCTAATTTGGACACGTCTGCGTTGCCCTCAGCATTGACGTAGCTGTATATCAGGATATTGCGAAAGCTTTTGATGCGTTCCCTTCTGTTTGGGACTCATACCATCATCCCCAGGTTAAATGCAGTGCTCTTATCTATGTGCTTCCTATTGAAGCCACAGTGCTGCGAGGAATCCTCTGCACTATTTCAAGTCGAAAGGACTGCATTCCCAGTGGCTGGAAGAAACTACGCAGTCTAGGTATGAATGGTTTGTGCATCATGCACAAAGCCAGGTGTTAAAACACATAAGGAAAGTGTACCTATTCTCACAACCATGTTTATATTAGAGGCGGCGTCCTCCATTTATTACAGCCAACAAACCTGCGCTTTTTCCCAATAGCTGCTACCATCCAGGTGAGGCAAGGCTAGCTGGATGAGCAGTTGCCCCAGTTCCTTCAAATTCTCAGAATTCGGATTGTGTATGATCAATATGTGCTATCAGGATACTGGAAATAAGAACTTCTCCTGTAGTGCCTTAAAATTTTGAATATAGCAAAGAACTTTTTCCTTGTTGAAGACTGAATGGGCCTTCCAGGTACATCTGAGTGGCTATATATTGGTTTACACCTTAGTTTTATCCAGATAAGGAATTGGCGGTGCAATTTAAAGTTGGAACTGGAGATAAAGCCCTTTCTCAGGGTGGCAGGTTCTCTATCTCTATTATAGACAAAGCTGAAAAAAAGACGACCCATTATGCAAAATCAGTCATGAGCTATTTTCCTTCTATATGTAGAAGTTAGTTAAACATTAACTTTTAGCACTCACTCTAAGTAAAGAACCCTTTTTTTTCCTTATCAGAGAAATTCATATATACAATTTGCAATTAATTTCTAATTAGGTTGTTCAAATTATTACTAGAATCTATATAGAAGTGGCATAGCAAAACTTTTAAGGAGGCAAATATAGCATTTTATACTGTTGCACAGTGCTCCGTATATATCATTAAACATAACCCATCAAAGTATTTTAAAAACTATAGAATAAATTGAACTTACACCATATTAAATATACCATATAAAGCAACTGAGAAAATTGCTGGTGTACACAGCTCACCTAACCTTGTACCTCAAACTGCTTTTCCAATTTGTTGCCACAAGCCTGGAACCGGACTTACATAAGACTATATTTCTGCATGAAAAAAAAAAAAAGTACACCACACAAGCATTGACAAATCTATTAAATTACATACCTGAGAGAGAAATGATCACATTAAAACGTCCAAGACAGTGGAGCTATATTGGACCATTGTGACAGAGAAATTACAGTCCGTTCTCATTATTGCTCTGTCAGAGGTGTCAAACTTCTAGCCTGCAGCTGCATCCAGGCATTTGATGTATTTCTGCGCCTCACATGGCACATGCAGCTTCTACAGAATGTCAGCCAGGCTGTTTTAAAGGAATTCAACTGCTCGTGGCTACAGAGGAAGGACACTGGCTTCAGTATCTGAGAAGCTGCTGGTTTATGTACCTGAGATGTTTGAGAGAGGCATGAGCTCTCCTCTCCCCCATGAATTTCATGGGGATGTTCATGTTAATACCGAGTGATGCCGCTTTAACTATTGGTGTAATTCACTGTTAGTGTAATTGCAAGTTAACTTCATTGCTGATCTCTTCAACAGATGGAGTCAGGATGGGGGTGGTAATGAAACCCACAGGAAATGGGTACTGCTGAAGGAAAATGCAGATGGAAAAAAAAAAGGAGACACACAAGAACAGGGAAAGGGGAAAGAAAGAGATTAAGGAAGCAGAGGGCATAGGAAATATAAGGCAGAAAGAGGATTATCTTAATGACCGCTTCAACCTGTACAGGAAAACTGCATATAACTAAAAAAAGTATGAATCATTTAACAAATGACTCCTATCAATAGTGTAATGGACAGAAAAAAGCGGTATGGTGGTCAGGTGCTGAGACCTGCAATACTTGCACTCAAGTCCCTGTTCCACTGCGGACTCTCTGGGCCATAATTAAAGAGCAGAAGTTTTATTTAAACCTTAGGCCTCACGTCTCCTTTTGCCTCAGTGTTTCTGACGACACAGAGGCAGCCAATAGGAAATTCCTGGCACACGACTTAAATAGAACATATTGTCTCAGTACAGCCCTTCTATATACTTTTGGACAAATGTCTTAAGACCTGCTCTGCAGAAATACATATATATATATGTATACATGTATATATGTGTGTGTGTGTGTATATATATATATATATACACACACCTGATTTCTACTGATGAGTTGAGCTGAGT